ATCTTTGAATTTCGATGGGGTGAATTTGGGCTTTCTGAACAGTGTGCAGGATAATGCCCTTCTGCGTCCAGTCCCGTTCCAGCTGGAAAGATGCTGTCACTGAATGCTCCCCAGTGAAAAATATAACCAGAATCTGACCTGTTCCATCTTGAGAACGTCTTGCCCTCGCCATGGTTCTGTCCAGCGTCCACGTGGCATAGTGATCCACGTGGGAGCAGAGAGTTTTGCTCCAATCTGTTTCCAAGTGGGGGGGATCAGATGCCACCATAAGAACGGCCGTACTGGGTCAGACCAAAGGTCCATCTAGCTCAGTATCCTGTCTACCGACAGTGGCCAATGCCAAGTGCCCCAGAGGGACTGAACCTAACAGGTAATGATAAGTGATCTCTCTCCTGCCATCCATCTCCATCTTCTGACAAACAGAGTCTAGGGACACCATTCCTTACCCATCCTGGCTAATAGCCATTGATGGACTTAACCTCCATGAATTTATCCAGTTCTCTTTTAAACGCTGTTCTAGTCCTAGCCTTCACAACCTCCTCAGGTAAGGAGTTCCACAAGTTGACTGTGCACTGTGTGAAGAAGAACTTCCTTTTATTTGTTTTAAACCTGCTGCCTGTTAATTTAATTTGCTGACCCCTAGTTCTTGTATTATGGGAATAAGTAAATAACTTTTCCTTATCTACTTTCTCCACATCACTCATAATTTTATATACCTCTATCATATCCCCCCTTAGTCTCCTCTTTTCCAAGCTGAAAAGTCCTAGCCTCTTTAATCTCTCCTCATAAGGGACCCTTTCCAAACCCCTAATCATTTTAGCTGCCCTTCTCTGAACCTTTTCTAGTGCCAGTATATCTTTTTTTGAGATGAGGAGACCACATCTGTATAAATATTCAAGATGTGGGCATACTATCGATTTATATAAGGGCAATAATATATTCTCCGTCTTATTCTCTATCCCCTTTTTAATGATTCCTAACATTCTGTTTGCTTTTTTGACTGCCTCTGCATACTGCGTGGACATTTTCAGAGAACTATCCACGATGACTCCAAGATCTTTTTCCTGATTTGTTGTAGCTAAATTAGCCCCCATCATACTGTATGTGTAGTTGGGGTTATTTTTTCGAATGTGCATTATTTTACATTTATCCACATTAAATTTCATTTGTCATTTTGTTGCCCAATCACTTTGTTTTGTGAGACCTTTTTGAAGTTCTTCACAGTCTGGGTCACACCAGTCCTCTTATTTTAATGCTGCCTGGAGCACCAACCTAACCACATGTTTGTCTCTTTCAGCTGTTCCACGTGGCATACGTCCTGATCAAATTTGCCAATTCCCCTCGTCCGGACCTCTGGGTGCTGGAGCGATCTACTGACTTTGGACTTACCTATGAGCCGTGGCAGTACTTTGCCTGTAAGTCTGGCTTTAGCAGGCCTGGGCGGAGTTGGGTCTTAATTCATGCTGGCTTCGCTGTATCGGGCAATGACGGGCCAGGAGGAATGTTTTGCATTGTTGAGTTGCTGTTTATATGGGAATTCACTCTGAACCTGGGTTTGGAGGAGTTAAATAAGCGATACGCTCTAACAGCAGGTGACCTGTAACTCCCCCTTTCCACAGAGAACTTATTGCTGCCAGAATTAAAGGTTGGATCAGAGCAGCTGGGAGTTTACCCAGTGGAACAGATGCTATTTAGGGTTGTGGTAGCTCTTTAATGCCAATGAGAAGTTAACTCACTCCTGCAGCCTCTCTTTCCTTCCCCTATCCCTGCCCACCACCACACCCTCACCAGCATTTCTGCTATTTAGATATGCCCTGTTCAGCGCAGCACCAGCAAGGAACAAACACGTAGATCCCTGACAGAGAGCAAGAGAGCAAAGCCTTTAGCTACTCCATTTTGCAATGGCGGGCCTGACTTGCTTATCGGTGGCTGCCACAGCAGCGAGGTGTGAGGGTGGAGGATAATCACTGCTCCATTGTCTCTAATCCAGTCTACGCCTGGAAGAAGAACCTGGTCTCTGCTGTTATGAGTAGGGCCATATCAAATTCACAGTCCATTTTGGTCAATTTCATAGTCATAGGATTTTAAAAATGGTTAATTTCACAGTTTCAGATATTTTCAATCTGAAATTTCATGGTGTTGTAACCCTGGGGATCCCAACCCAAAAGGGGTGGTGGTAGAGCATCTGGAGCAAGTCTAGTGTGTGTGTGTGTGTGGGGGGAGGGGGTGTTGTATTGCGACCCTTACTTTTGTGCTGCTGCTGGCAGCGGCGCTGCCTTTAGAGCTGGGCTTCCTGCAGCTGGGTGAGGTTCCCAGAGGTGGGTGTGACCCAGCTCTGGGAGTGCCATGTGCAGGGAAAGAGGGAGTCCCGTCCCTCCCCAAACCAGGTAGGACTAGCATCTGGAGCCTGGTGCACGGTAGAAATCCCCAGCCAACGTGGTACTAGCCAGATTTCATGGGGAACATCAGATTTCACGCCCTGTGATGTGTTTTTCATGGCCGTGAATTTGGTAGAGCCCTAGTTATGAGAGTACATGGGAAACAGTTCTATGCACTGCAACTCAGCCAAGTCACCAGGAGTGTTAGCAGCTGGCCCCTCCTGAGAGCACGGGCAGTAATTGGGAAAAGATGTGAGCTAAGATCTACAACTGGCTTTTAAAACCAATCTACAAACCTGGCGAGGAAAGGTGCTTCTAAGTACACACATGCCCTCCCCTGGGATTCCCTAGCAAGGCTCGCTGCCCTGGTATTTACAGGTCAGCGTGTGGGTTTCCCTCTCAGAGCGGAGGAGGAGAAGTTTTATCCTAGTTTTTTTTTTTAATGTAGTAGATAAAACAGCTTGAAATTTCCTCCCTCGCTTGTCCTAATTTTGTAAATACTCTGTAGTGCTGATTCACCCCCCTTTGCTGTGCACAGCAGAGGAGACGCTCCTGTCAAATTGCCCTGTCTTTCACTTTTCTCGTTCTTGCCTAGCTGCCATTTTCCTTTAGTTCCCCCCGCCCCCTCAAAGGCCTCTACCTGCTTGTAAGAGGTCCGCACTCACCCCTGTGGCGCCCCCTACTGGTTACTGCGGGGAATCAGCTCACCAGCCTCTGGAGCGCCCTCTGCAGGCCGGTGATCCGCTTTGTCCTCTGCTGGCACCCGTGTCCCTCCCAGGACCCAGTGCCCCTATTACTGGGGTGCTGCCCCCTGGCAGTACCCCCACAGATCTGGGTCTCCCCTCCCTGGGGAACCCCCACCCACTAGCCCTACCTTGCCTCAGCACTAGGCCACTGCCAGTCACCAACTAGCCCCCGCTCCCTGGGGCAGACTGCAGTATAGGTCACTCATCACTGGCAAGGGGGGTTTGGACCTGCCGCCTTGGCCTAGCCCTGGGCTGCCCTCTGCAACCCCTAGTACCCCTTGGCCTATTACCAGGCCACAGCCTGGGGCTATCCAGGCTGGAGCTCCCCAGCTTTT